CTTCTTTGTCCCTGATGCCCCACGTGCCCTCACCACCCCTCAAACCACTGCTGAACTATTGCCCTGAACTGGGGCATCCCAGGGATGAGAGACTCAGCCCCTCCCCTCTCCAGGGCTTCCAATTTAGGGGAGTGGGCTGCTGTGGAAACTCAAAAGCTCCTATTCCTGCTTTAAACACAAGTAATACGTGTTTATTCCACAGAAGTTAAGAAGTACAGATTAGCAGAAAGAGAACTAAATGTCAGTGGTGGACACTGTCACTCCTCCGCCCTGAACCGTCTTGTAATCAGCTGCTTGCACTTATTAACGCGTTGTGAGTAGCTTTCAGCTCATAAGAGCCATTTCCACGTCATTTTCTTTAACGCCTGCCCCGGTGGGTGCGCTGTGTGAGACGTTCATGTCACCAGCTCTGAGGGTTGGTCAGCGGGACTCATCGTGGTACTGTGAATAATGCTTCCAGAAACGTCCTCCGTCCATTCGGCAATATTCCCCGACGGCCTGCGGGCGCCTTTCCAGGCACTGGTTACACAGCAGGTTACAAACAGGGAGACTCCAGTGTAGACACATCTCTGGGCAAACCCTGGCTGCTTTCTTTCAGTTGCTGACTGGATAGGGGATTGCTGGGCCGAAGGGCGCAACTTTGCCAGGATTCACCCTCCCAAAGGATCGTGCCTCAGGGGACCGAGTGTGGGAGGGCCAGCACCGCCCTCTAAAGGCCACCTGGATGAAGCCTGGCGTCCTCTCTGCTGCAGACTGGCCAGGCAGTGGGCAGTGGGCTGGCCGGGCAGTGGGCAGCGGGCTGGCCGGGCAGTGGGCAGTGGGCTGGCCGGGCAGTGGGCAGCGGGCCCAGCCCAGAGGAGATGGGGAGGGCAAGCCTGGCTCCTGGGCCTGGGTGTCTGGTCCCCTCGGCTGACAGCTGCAGGAGGTGTCTGTGTTTTCCCAGCCCCAGACTGGACTGCTGGATCTTGGTATGGGATATAATTTCCTAAATTGGGGCCACCCTGGACAATCCAGAGCCACTGTGGTCTTTCTCTCACCTAGCAGGTGGGCTGTCCTCCCCAGGGAGATCCCATGAGGAGGGCTGAGGAGGCAACCCACCCCAGGCCGCAAGGGCAGGGCCAGGCCAGGCCCAACCCTCCTACTCCAGGCCTCCGCCCCTGCCCTTCTTGTGCTCGGGGGCGGGCACCCAGGTAGCTCCGGAGCCCAAACCTGTCCAACCAGTTTTGAGAGCCGCGGGACCGAGGGAGGAAGGCTGGCAGAGGATGCACGTCCTGCCTACTGCTCTTCCTGCACCCCTGGCCGCCTGAGCCCGCTCCTGCCGACCTCATGACACGCGCTTGGGGCCTCCTGGCGGCCCTGCTGGGCCTGGGGCTGGGCCTGAGCCTGCCGGGGCCCGGGGCCACAGACTGCGGGTCCCTCGGCCCAGTGGAGCGCCTGGCCTTCACCCCAGCGGCCAGGGCCCGGTGGCTGGCCCCTCGTGTCCGCGCTCAGGGGCCCCTGGACCCCCTCTATGGCACCGTGCACCGCTTCCTGTCCGTGGTGCAGCTCAACCCCTTCCCTGCTGGTGAGTGCGCCCTTTCTTCCCCATCCCGCACTGCCCACCCCGCCCCAGGGCCTCAGATGGCCCTCCCTTTCTCCTCCACTGTGGGGTGCACCTACCCTGTCAGCAGGCACCAGGAGGGCTGGGCGCCCAGCAGCTCCCACCCCATCTTCCTTCCTAGAAGTCCAGGTTGCCAGGAGCAGCACCTAGAGGCCTTGCTGTGTGACCTTGGGCAAGACCCTTTACCTCTCTGACCCTCCGCTTCTCCGTCTCTAAAGTGGAAGAGTCTGCATTAGATGTTCCCAGAGACCTGGCTGAGACATCCTCTGGGCCTAGGGGTGCTGAGGGCTGGTCCAGGAGGGGCTCCCTCAAGGGGAAGGGCTGCTAGGCCAGGCCCCCTTTCTGCTTTTGCGCAGGCTGGTGGTGTCCCTGCTTCACTGCCTACATGTAGGGTCCAGGAGGGAGGTCTGCCAGGCCTTTCCTCGGCTCCTCCCTGCCGTAGCAGCACTGTGGCCTGGGCAGGAGAGCAGATGGTGGCGTGACACTGTTTTCTGAGAGCACCCTGGGTGGGAGGGGCCCTCCCCGGGACCCACCTTGGCCTGGCCGTGGAGGGGTGGGGTTGGACACAGGGGCAGGGCAGTCGCTGCCTGGGAGCCCCCAGCTTGGTTCTTTCTGGTAGAGCTGGTAAAGGCCCTGCTGAACGAGCCAGCCTCCGTGAAGGTGAACGAGGTAAGCCCTGGGGGGAGGTGTTGGGGGAAGGAGTTTAGGGGTGAGTGTCGGGGCAGGAGGTAGAAAAAGCTCCTTCCAGTCAGCCCAGCCCAGCCCAGCCCAGCCCAGCCCAGCCCAGCTGGTCGGCTACCTGCCGGGGGGTGGGTATCGGTCCCGCATCTTTCCCCCTTACATGAGTGTTGTGGTTGGCAGGCCTGGGTTCAAACCAGGGCTCTGCCATTTACGGGCAGCGAGGTTTGCAGTGAGCCCCTAATCTCCCCGAACTTCAGTTTCCCCATTTGTAAGACAGTTATTAATAATAAGGACCCTGACCACCTCTTGTGAGAGTTTGGCCGGATGCCTGCCAAGAGTCTGCCACTTTTGGGTGCTCTGCCCTTCTGGTTTCCCTCTGGAGAAGGAGGGAGCAGGGGCTGGGGTGTGGGGTTGGGGCATCCCTGCCGCCCTGCCGCCCTGCCGCCCTGCCGCCCTGCTGCCCTGCCGCCCTGCCGCCCTGCCCAGGTGGTGCGGTACGAGGCTGGCTACGTGGTCTGCGCGGCTATCGCAGCCCTGTACCTCCTGGGGGTGCCCATCAGCGGGCTCTGTTTCTGCTGCTGTCGCCGCCGCCGCCGGCGCTGTGGGGGCCGCGTGAAGATGGAGCACGAGGCTATGGCCTGTGAGCGAGGCGTCCTCCTGGCCTTCCTGCTGCTGACCACTCTTGTGCTGCTGTGAGGGGCTGCCTAGGGTGGGCGGGAGGGTGGGCTGCAGCCCCAGGTGCTCAGGGCCCCCAGCAAGCCCCTTCCTCCTCCCCTGGGTCCCCACAGGGTTGGCTTGGTCTACGGCTTTGTCACCAACCAGCGTGTGCATGAGGAGACGCGCCCCAGTGTTGAGGCCGTGCCTGAGACTCTGCTCAGCCTCCGGGGCCTGATCTCTGATGTCCCCCAGGTTAAGCCCCGATTAACCCCCTCGCCCAACTCACCCCCTGAGCACCAGGCCCAGGCAGGACACAGCAGCCTTTGTGCAAATTGGAAATGGGGTCCCTTCCTCCACCCACCTGACTGCGCCCTGGCGGAAAGTCCCTGTAAACACACCTGTGGTGTCCTCGGGAAAGGGGCAGACTTGGGGTGGTGGTGACAGGGAAGGCAGCCTCATGCCCCCATGTTTGCCTAGGAGCTGCAAGCAGTGGTCCGGCAGTTCTCTCTTCCCCAGGAGCGAATCTTGCAGGAGCTGGACGGTGAGGGTGACAGCTGGCTGGCCAACTGGCCAGCCTCAGGAACCCCTTGCTCAGGCCCGCCTCCCTCGCCCCGACTCCCCCTGGGAACCCCCTCACAGGGGCAGGGACAGACCTTTGCAGGACGGCGAAGCCGGTGCCCACCCTGCAGAGCTCGGCGCCGGGGCCTGGGGGCGCTGAGGGACGTGTGGGGAGCCCTGCAAACTGCCCCCTGTTCTCCAGGTATCGGCATGAGCATCGGGCATGCCATCCACATCCAGCTCAGGAGCACCGTGTACCCAGCGCTGGCCTCAGTGCTCAGCCTGGGCCAGGGTGAGCCCGGCCAGCAAAATTCTAGCGGGGATGTGGCCTGAGCCGTCGTCTTCCTGGGGGCAGGCCCCACCCTCCGCCAGCCCCACCCAGGAGTTCCCATCTGCATTATTCCCGGCTCCCACATCCTGTGCATCCCTGCCCACATCCTGGTTTAGCCTGCCCTGGGGCAGTTTTGTTTGTACCTAAAGATGCTTAATGACTCTGTGTCCCTTTGGTTGGGGGTTGGGGTGGGGCTCTGCCTCCCCCAAGGCTCTGAGGATTCCTGGAGCAGTGGTGTCTCTCAGCCCTGCAGGTCTCCATGGACCACCTCCGGGTCCTGAACACCACCTCGGTGGAGCTACGGAAGGGGCAGGAGGAACTGGAACCCGTCCTCATGGCGCACCGGGAGCGCCTTTTGGCCCTGCTGCAGCAGCCCAGCTGCCAGGGCTGTTCAAGGGCCATGAACCAGGCCCGTGCCCTGGAGCTGGGTGCTGACTTCAGACAGGTGCAGGCCTGGGACAGAGCCTCTAGGAGCTAAGGGGGGTGCTCTGCCTGCTTCCCGGGACCCCTGGGCATCTGAGTGGCCCAGTGTTTCCCAAGGAAGACTCCGGCTGCTCCTGTCTCCTCTGTGTCTCCACACAGCCAGGGCTCATGATGGGCATGCTGGCAGCATGTCACGGGCTCTCCTGGGCTCCCACGCTGGGCACGAGCTCTGCACCTATTAACTCCTTGAGTTCCCGCTGCCATCCAGGGCAGCTGGGGCTGTGCTGGTCCCCATGTTACACGAGGGCTCTGAGGATTCAGAGGCACCCACCTCTCCCATCTCCCCCCGGAGTCCCTTTCAGGCCTCTCCGTGGGCTCCGTCATAACCCTCCCATTTCAGGTGCCCCCTGTGGACGATGTCCTGCATCGCCTGAAGGGTGTCCCCGAGGCCAACTTCTCCAGCATGGTCCAGGAGGTGAGTATCTGCCCTTAGCCATCTACCGCGCTCTTCTGCCAGCTGCCTAGGAGCCTGCTTGCCAGTGAGGGGCCTCGGTTTTCCCCTTGTGGGGTAGGAACTCATTCAGACATAAGACCTGGGTCCAGTGAGGGCCTCACCTACACCTGGGCTGGAGGCCCATGATGCCTGCCCTCGGGGGGCACACAGCCTGGTGGGGGAGGCAGGTAGTGGGTGTGGAGCTTGGAAAGAAGAGCCAGAGCCCTCGAGGGGTTGGGGGCCTGGGGCAGGAAGCGGGCACTGAAGTGGAGCCCTGCAGGACAGGCAGGCTCTGTGTGGGTGGAGATGGGCTGTGGGGTTGGGGGCCCAGCGTGAGTCTGCCGAGCTGGGTGGCTGGAGCAGAAGGTTCAGGGAGGAAGGAAGTGAGAGGTGAGGCTGGAAGGGTGGGCTGGATGTGGACCATGGAGAACATTGAATGCCACTAAGGAACACAGGTGAGCGGCATTGTTCTGAGCGGCGTTCAGGGTGCCTGGAGCTGGGCTTCAGGAGGATGGACCTAGCAGTGGTGTGTGGGATGGATGGAGCTTGCTGCAGTGGTCTAGGTGAGAGGTGGCCAGGGACAGAAAGGAAGGCCTGCAAGGGGTAATGTTTTGGGGAGCTGAGTCAGGCCGTGGGAGGGGGCAGTGACCAGGAGAACAAAAGGAAGCCTATTCTTTGAGCTGGGAGCACTGAGGAAGGATTGCCTCCCTCTGGGCCTGGAGGCTTTGGGGTCCCTCGAGCTGGAGAACCAGGGCGGAGGGTGGGAGGCCCAGCCCTGCTTGGTTCCCGCAGGAGAACAGCACCTTCAACATCCTCCCGCTCCTGGCTGCCAAGCAGGCAGCTGATGTGGTCAGAGGTGAGGCCCCGCCCCTTCACCACCCGCAGGGAGGCCATGTTGAGGGAGAGCACTGGCTGGGGGGTCAAAACAGGGCTTCTGGGGTGGGGTAGGCTGTGCCCCACCAGAGCGGGCCCTCCCTGTGGGTCCCAGAGGTTCTTGCTCCCACCCCTCTCCTCCCTGGGCCCTGGGTTCTCTCTCCATCCCATAAACACCCATTGCTTTGGGAAGAGCTGAAAAAGAAAGTGGCCCAGGAACCCGAGGGGCTGAGGACACTGGCCGAAGAGTTCCCAGGCTCGGAGGATGCCTCCCGCTGGAGCCGGGCCCTGGAGAACATGGAACAGGGCAGCCGTTCCTACCTGCAGGAAGTGCAGAGATACGAGAGATACAGGTGCCTGGGAGCCCGTGGGGTGGGTGCTAGAGGCCTCTCAGCTGCTTTAGACCTGAATTCCCACCCCCATCAGCCCCCAGTGATACTGAGCCTCTGACTCCAGTTAAGCCAAGACCCCTCACCTTGCAGGGCTCCATGCCCCTTCCTGGCTGTGTGCCCGTGGGGCCTGAGCTGGGGACCCCATAGCAGCAGTGAGGCTCAGGAAGTGTCCACCCCTACACTTTCCAAACCCCAGCCTTGAGGGTGGGGGCCTCACCCAGTCCCCACTCACCCTCACCCCTGTGTGCCTTTCACCAGCCCCCCCCCGCCCGGTGCCCAGGGTGAGACCCCCACCCTCTCTGTGGCAGGTGGATTGTGGGCTGTGTGCTGTGCTCTGTCATCCTGCTTGTGGTGGTCTGTAACCTGCTGGGCCTCAGCCTGGGCATCTGGGGGCTGTCGGCCAGGAAGGACCCCAGCCACTCGGAGGCCAAGGGCGAGACTGGAGCCCGCTTCCTAATGATGTAAGAAAGGCTGGGGAGAGGGGAAGGGTCTCTCCCACTGGACTGGCCCGATTCCCTCCCTGCCATGGACAGCTCCTGGTGTGGCTGCAGAAACAGTGACCCGGGAGTTGTGTGCTCTAGTGTTGGCTCGAATACCAGCTGGCTGGGTGACCCATCCGGGCCTCCGTGTCCTCATCTGTGTGAAAGGGCTGCACTAGTGCAGTGATGGCAAAAGAGAACCACGCCCCTCTTCCTCACCAGTGCTGACTGCCCTCGTGAGCGGCCACTCTTTCCCACTGAGCCCAGATGCAGCCTCAGAATCCTTCTTAACCCAGCATCCAGGTGGCGCCGCCCATAGGAGGCGGCGTCAGAGCTGGGGCCTGCCGTCCCCGGGCCGGGCCATCTCTCAGGCCGGGGCTGACACGCACAGCTGTGCAGGCTGTTCACTGCACAAAGGCGTTCGGCCAAAGGGGCAGGAGGGGCGGGAACCAGCCCAGGTTTCATTCTCCAAGCCTCCAGCCTGGCCTGGGCTTGTGCCAGTCCACAAAGAATTACTGTAGGCCGGCGGCTCCCTGTCTGAGGGTCCTTCCCTCAGGGTGTTTGTCCTGCTGATGGCCAGGCTTGATGGCCCCGCTGAGGGCCGGGCCCAGAGGTGGGCAGTTCCGGCTCTTCGAGCAAAACAGCTCTCCTCTCGGCCGCCAGGGCCAGCCAGGCACGGGTGACATGGCGGGGCGCTCTGAGTTCTCCCTCCTGCCAGGAGGCTGAGTCTTCTGAGTCCCTTTCCCCAAGGGGCTCTGCCCTGGGGCCGTCTCTGACCGACTCTGGGATGTGGGAGGGACAGAGGGTGTGGTCCAGGTAGGGGACCCCTGGTCTCCGCTCCCCCTCACAACTCTGCCCTCCCCCCCAGGGGCGTGGGCTTCAGTTTCCTCTTCGCGGCACCTCTCATCCTCCTGGTCTTTGCTACCTTCCTGGTGGGCGGCAACGTGCAGACGCTGCTGTGCAGGAGCTGGGAGAGCCAGGGGCTGTACAAGGTGGGCCTGCCCCCACTCTGGGCAGGGCCCAGGGTGGAGGGAAGTGTGGGCACAGCAAGGCGTGGGCACAGCAAGGTGTGGACGCAGCGAGGTGTGGGCACAGGGAGGTGGGGGCACAGCGGGGTGTGGGTGCAGGGAGGTGCGGGTGCAGCGGGGTGCGGGCACAGGGAGGTGTGGGCGCAGGGAGGTGCGGGTGCAGCGGGGTGCGGGCACAGGGAGGTGTGGGCGCAGCGAGGTGTGGACGCAGCGAGGTGTGGGCACAGGGAGGTGCGGCCGCAGCGGGGTGCGGGCGCAGCGGGGTGCGGGTGCAGTGGGGTGCGGGTGCAGCGAGGGGATTAGGAGGAGCCAGCAGCCCGAAGGGCCTGGACAGGAGAGGGAGCCAGACAGACCAAGAGGCAGAGAGGAACAGGAGGGACGAGGACAGAGGTGGCCAGGAAGAGCCCGAGAGAAAAGCCTCTGATGGACGGGAGCGGGAGGGTCCGTGTGCCCCGGGGATGCTACAGATGGTTCTGGGGATGGACCCTGAGGGACTGCACCCAGGCCTGACCCCTCTCCTCTCCCAGCACTAAGCTGGTGAGTCGAGGTGCTGGCCTGGGCCCTGTGCTGAGGGTCGTGCTGCCCACCTCTCCTAGAAGGAGTCCCCGTAGGAGCTAAGGCCCAGTGGTCATTGGAGTTAGAGGTCAGGATAGGGTGGTGTCACGGGTATTTCCCACCCCTGGTCTCTGCTGTGCTGGGCGGTATGGGGCCAGGCTGTAGGGGAGCCAAGTGGCCTTGCCTCCCTCCACTCCAGCCCCACTTCTTCGGGCCCCTTCACCAGTTTGTAGACACCCCGGGGAACTTGCCTCCGTCCATGAACCTGTCTCACCTTCTTGGCCTCAAGAAGAACATCAGCTTCCTCACGGCCTATCAGTGAGTGGGAACCTGGGCTGGGGTGTGAGGGGGGGCCGGTGCCCAGGAGCAGAGGCCGGCATGCCGCCCCCACCCACTCCCCGTCCCTGCTAATCTTGGCTGCCCATCACTCTTCCCCAGGCAGTGCAAGGAAGGGGCTGTTCTCTGGAATGTCCTGCAGCTCAACGACTCCTATGACCTGGAGAAGCACCTGGATATCAGCCAGGTAGGGGGACTTCTGGAAGGCTGTAGGGCGCCCTCCTGCAGACCCCCCCACCCCCCGGCC